AATTTAAATTTGAATTAATATAACGCCAATCTTCAACATTCGAACCTTCATGAATTATGGTTAATCTATTGGTTGCAAATGCGTGGTAGCGCGTGGTATCATTAGCAATATACTGCAATACTGAAGTACTATCTGTCCAAAAGAATTTATTTCCACAATGATAATTGGACTCCTTACTGACTACATAGCCAGTTTCACAGCGAGAGTTGCTGTTGTTAATTCCATTCTGGGAATGGTGACCTTCTTAAGAGGTGCTACCCTTAATTTTCCTATCACTAGGTTACATTTGATACGCTGATCAGAGTATTGAAATGTTGTATATACGGCGACGCCATACTCATTATCGCTTGCATCGGCAAAACAATGTAATTGCACTTTAACATCTTGAACTTGTACTTTCTTTAAGTTTTGGAACTAACCACTGACAGTATCCCTCTTATATTTTTCCTTTTGTTCTTTAGATTTATTTTGAACTCAAAACTATCTGTCTTAATTGACCACACGAGTCCGAGTGCCCTTTCCGTGGGCAAAGATCTAATGTGTCAATTTGATGTATATGATCTTCTATTGGAATTGATTTGACTAGGGCGGTATACTCCATGGTGATATATCATCCATTTCCATCATTTCTGCTGATCTCTGATTTAGGTACTTGTTCTACGTATCCCTTATCATTTCCTTTGTTCATAAAGATTGAATATTATTTAGCAAATTCCTGTTTTTTTTTTTTGTTTTTTTTTTTACTTGTTTTTAAGATGCTGTAATCTTAATTTAGCATAGTTCTGATTATTAGGAATCTTAAACTCTTTATCATACAATGGTAACTCCATCCCATAGTGGCCACCTACGAGTTTCATTGAATTTTGAACTTTACCTTAAAACGACTTATCCTGAATTGAATCTTTTCTTTTATCATCTATTTTTCCTCTGGAAATTCCATGTTGATTAGTTTCCTTACTAAATGTCAAGCCCCTTTTGTCCATACGTATTAAGTTCTGTCATACTAATTTTTATAGGATGCTACAAGATCCGATCCCCGTCATTTCAATAGACCCAATATTACCGAACCTATTCTTGTTTTGGCAGCAACTGGACAATATTCTTCTCCTGATATAATTTCTAATGGTCTATATGCTTCTAGGTTATTGTTTCCAATTACCAGATTTACTTTTCCATCAAATTTTGGAATCTCTACATCTCTTAAATGTGGCCATTTGTTTTTTTTAAATCTTCCAATTGAAGGCATAAACCCTTTGGATTTTTTTTTTTTTTTTTTTTTTTTGTTATCCTGGAAATGAACATTTGATAATTCTACAAAATTATTTCCTGTCAAGGAACTGACTTAATAAAGGCTTCCCTGGTTAGTCTCACGGTAGGTTTGCTTTCGCACCTCTCGAACACCAGGTGCTCTCCTTTGCTTGTTCCCACACGCGCTCCTTCTTCTCCGGTGTCAGCCATTTCCGCTCCTCTTGGCGGCCGTTTTGTGGGGCTTTTTCTTTTCTTCTTAGTCAGTCCCAAAATGTACAGTTCATCAGCAAATGAAGCGGGCTTCACGGGCAAGTTGCACAGCTTTCGTAATGCTACATAATTTTCGTAATGATGTGGAGCGTAGGATTAAAAAGATAAAAAAAATCTCTGTCTGTCTCTCTCTCTCTTGTTATTGCCATTAATATCATTATCATTATTATAATTGTTATTATCATGATTTATTACTATTGTCAATATTACCATTAGCCTGTTAAAAACATTATTGTTATTATTATTATTATTATTATCATCTCTCTCTCTCTCTCTCCCTCATCTTATCATTATCATTTTCATTACTGACATTGTCATCATTGTTATTGCCATTAATATCATTATCATTATTATAATTGTTGTTATCATGATTTATTACTATTGTCAATATTACCATTAGCCTGTTAAAATCATTATTACCTCCGCCAAGGAGGTTATGTTTTTGACGGCGTTGGTTTGTTTGTTAGCAGCCTAGCTCAAAAAGTGTTGGCCGGATTTCATCGAAATCAGAAAGGGACTAGCTTAGAACTGGTTAAATTTTGGTGACATTCCGAATTACCGTCTGGTTATTATTATTATTATCATTATTTAAGCAATAAACAAGTTCGGTACACAAATCTACAGTAAACGTGTGCCACATTTCACTGACATTCCGAATTACCGTCTGGACGCAGCAGCAGTGTAAGTACATCATATACGCACATTGGCGGAGGTCTGCACTCTCTGAGTGTTTTTCTAGTTATTATTCTCTCTCTCTCTCTCTCTCTCTCTCTCTCTCTCTCTCTCTCTCTCTCTCTCTCCTCTCTCTCTCTCTCTCTCTCTCTCTCTCTCTGCGCCCCTCTCTGACTCTCTCTCCCTCTCTCTCTCTGACTCTCCTTCTCCCTCTCCCTCTTCCTCTCTCTCTCCCTCTCTCCTCTCCCTCTCTCCTCTCTCCTCTCCCTCATCATTATTATCAATGTTATCATTATTATTATCAATGTTATCATTGTTATTATCAATGTTATCATTATCATTTTCTTGATACTATTATTATTATTATTATCATTATTGTCACCATTATTACTATTATCATTTTCATCATCCTTAATGTCATGACTTAATAACAGTACTATTATCATTTTCATCATCCTTAATGTCATGACTTAATAACAGTACTATTATCATTATCATTATTATTGTCATTACTAACATTATCATCATTGTTATTGGCATTAATATCATTATCATTATTGTTTTTATCATGATGTATTATTTTTGTCATTGTTAACATTAGCCTTTTAAAATTATTATTGTTAATATTATCATTATCATCTCATTATCATTATCAATATTATCATTATCAATATCATCCCCATCATCATTATTATTGTTCTTCCTATTATAATTATTATTATGATTATTATCATTATTATTATTATTACTACTGCTATCATTATCATCATTACTGTCATTAGTATCATCACCATTATTATTGTTATTACTATCATTATTATTGTCACGTAACCCCCTCCTTCTGATGCCCAGTGTGGGGTGGGTCACGCACACAGCCAGGTTCCCATTACTGGGTGCCTAACACTATGCCAACTCACTATGTGTCAGGATGCTGTACTCCTTTACTGTCTGTCCTACTGGTTTCTTTGAGCAGCCTCTGGCGGGTGTTCACGGGGATGGCGGGGATGTGAAATGACCGGCAGGTAGCAGTCCACGGTTTATTGCAGTCCACAGGGTTAGTGACAAAAACGGGTCACACACACACACACAGTTTCTCCTGTGACTAACAAAACGCTGTCACATTTCCTTGGGGAGAACGATCAAGTGCAAGTCACAGCTGCAGCTACAGAACATTATCATGATAGTATTGGTGATCATGAAAATTATTATAATAACGATAATAACAAAATTAGAGGTAGTACTACTAGTAGTGGTAGTAGTATGAGTCGCAATAACAGTAGTAGTAATAATAATGATATATTATTAAAGATATACGGTTATATATATATATACATATACATACATACATATATATAATATATATATATATATATATATATATATATATATATATATATATATATATATAAATATATAAATATATATATATATATATATATATATATATATATATATATATATATATATATATATATATATATATATTCAGTGAGCAAACCCAGTTTTAATTTAGATTAGAATAAAACACCAAATCTTTAGATGTTATCCATTGCAACAGAGCGAGTAATAGACTCTTTTACTTGATCGTTCTAATCCTTCTACTGGAATATTCTCTGTGTAATGAGGAACAGTGTTCTTATTATTTATGGTATTACTTGCCAACACTGGTATACAGTTTTATACATTCCTTAATCTAAATGCCAAAAGAGCTTCCATCTGTGATCTGCAGTGCATCAAAGAATTATAATGAAACGAGCAAATGCCGTGCAGAGTTGTGGATTCATTGACCTACTCGCACGAGCCCTAGCATCACAGCCTCCGCACGCAATCATTGGCAGTCAAGCACACTGCAGGTATGCCAAAATGAGCTTCAGAGGACAGAATATAAGAAGAGCTATTTCTTTATTCACGAATTAGCAGCATACATCATATTTCACTCACTTTAGAAGAAACAGTATAGATGTCAAAGCATATAAATGTGTGTGTGTGTGTGTGCGTGTGTGTGTGTGTGTGTGTGTGTGTGTGTGTGTGTGTGTGTGTGTGTGTGTGTGTGTGTGTGTGTGTGTGTGTGTGTGTGTGTGTGTGTGTGTGTGTGTGTGTGTGATAATGTCTCTGTGTACACCCAATCGCATGGACCAAACCGCCAAATCAGGACCAGCACCACCCCTTCCCCCATCACGACACACACACACGAAAAAGTTCGCACGTGTTGGCGAAGATCCACCAAGCAGACGCCGGCGTACAGTCCCTCGCACGCAATCTCTCGGTGCGCAAGTGTGGGGGACCGTGTGGTGCTTGAGTTCTATATGTAGAGATTGGCACACTCTGGGCACAGTGAGTCTCAAAGGTTCTTCCACTCAGGTTACACAGTCCACCAGAAGCAGGTCTGAAGGATGCAGGCAGCCCGTCTGATTGCACGTCTGGTACCATCAGCGCCTCCGACAGGATCCTTGGCGGCGAGATGGGGCGTCAGGAACCTGCAGACGACCTCCTGCAGGTATTGCTTTGGTGGTGCTTTTGTGGTCGGCTTGAGTTGAAGTGCAGACTATTCAGTCGGAGTGTAATGCACTGACAACTAATGTGTCCTGTCAGTGTCTAAATGCAACTATATCTTTCATGTAAACATTGGAAGAGAAAGTGAGTGGCTGCCTTTACGCCTGTCTGTCATTCTGTTTTGTCAAATGTGCCTTATGTGATTTTTAGGGCTCAACCCCCTATAACCCTTCCTATGAGGATATAATATTGAGAGCAGGTGGTATAGTGTAACTTTAGTGTTCAGTTAGAGACAAGTAAACCTTTACCATGTATATTCCTAGCAAGAATGAGCTTAGACTGTTTCATTATTTGGCACAAAATCATAAAGGAGGTGCACAAGCACTTTCTTGTCATGATATATATAGTGGAGGTTTGTTGGCCTATGTTAGACCACAAACAGGTGTTGAGTACATGGTATTCATTTGATATCGCAGCACAAACTTCTTTTATGGGGTTTTAGATCTCTTACATCCATATTCCTTAGATTTTGATGTGTCTAAGTATGTAGTACTTCTTATCAGGAGGTTGATTTCCCCCTGTTATAAGTAGATAAATATTTGGATTAGTTATTTTTATCTTTTTTAATGCCTCTAATAATTTAGTTCTTTCAGAATGGAATCTTGAGCAATGTAATGTCAAATGCTCAATTGTTTCTTCTGGATGTTGGCACCATCTGCAATTTGGATCGGTTTCTAAATTTAATCTGTGTCAGTGTTTTTTTCAGTCTTGTATGTTTAGTTAGTGTTCTTGTAAGATATACATCTAATTTACCATTTTCTGATCTAGACCATGATTGTGGGGTGTTATCTTTGAGGTAATAGGTTTTTGTGATTGGACTTTTTTGTAACTGTTCTTCCCATTGTCTTTAGATTTTTTCTTTTATGTGTTTTATTATGTTGTTGATAACTTAGGTAATGATTATGGAATTTTTTAATTCATGAGCTGTCTTTGCTGCAAGGTCTACAATTCCATTTCCAGTCAAAGCATCACAAACTATTGTGAATATCACAGATGTAGTTAGCTTCTGCATACTATAGTTAGACAGTAAATGCCGTCCAACAATATCAGGTCTCTTAATATTGATTATGTACAGCTTTTCTGTAGAATTACCCATGTGGATTACAAGGGGTATTGGTAATTAGTGGGAAAACACAAAATACTTTTTTACTGTAGCCCATGTCCATAACACTTTTTGTTAATTTGATATTGTGAGATTTATTCAGTTGCTTTTTATTATTTTATTGTGTTCAAAGAGTAAAAATATGTATATGTGACCAGGGGAATCATTTCAGCCTTTTCTCTTGGGGGGCAGGGTTGGCAATTCAAGCCACTTAAAATATTTTTAAAAATGAATCATTCTAGGCATTTTTAAGCTACAACCAGAGCTATAAAGGTGTAACTTCAGCAAAAAGAAATTGTGGGAGTGTGACCCCCCCCAGTCCTCCCCAAACTTTGCCTTTGCTAGTGACATATTATGCTTATACAGCCCTTATTAACAATGTTATACATTTATATTTTTTCCACTTATCTACTCTGTGTCTTGTATACCTTTTTTTATACCTCCATTGTTCTTCCACAGAGCAAAAGCCCAACTTATAGATGGAAAGAAAATTGCAAATGAGATCTATGAAGAACTGTCCACACAAGTCCAAAATATGGTAACAGCAGGTAGAAGGGTTCCCCATTTAGTGCTGGTGCGAGTGGGTGGAGACCCTGCTTCCGGTAGCTATGTGAAGAACAAAAAAAAAGCTGCTGATAAGATAGGTAATTCATTGTTGAAGCTTAATTAATTTTGCCTATATTTTTGCTTATATCTGTGTTTATTTTACAGCTTTACTCCAATATAGGAGAGATTGGTAAGAGATCTCTTTCATTATCTGTTAAATATCTCTGAATGCAAGAGAAATAAAGATACAATTAAAGCTCATGCCATTCCATAAGTAGAAGGCTCTGCTTTAGAAAGAAAGAATGCATATGATATGTCTGCCTAACCTCGTATCTCCCCCCCCCCCCCCCCTCTCTCTCTCTCTCTCTCTCTCTCTCTTCTCTCTCTCTCTCTCATCTCTCTCTCTCTCCTCTCTCTCTCTCTCATCTCTCTCTCTCTCTCTCTCTCTTTCTTTCTATTTCCCTTTCCCTTTCCCTTTCCCTTTCCCTTTCCCTTTCCCTTTCCCTTTCCCTTTCCTTCTCCCTCCCCCTCTTTCTCCCTCTCTCTCCTTCCCTCCATTCCTCCCTCTCTCTCTACCTCCCTCTCCCCTCTCCCTCCCTCTCCCCTCTCCCTCCTCTCCCTCCTCTCCCTCCTCTCCCTCCTCTCCCCTTTCCCTCCCCTCTCCCTCCTCTCCCTCCTCTCCCTGTCTTGCTCTCACTCTCTATCACACATTAACCCAAGCACTCATTCACTCCCTATCCTCCCCACCTGTCTCCTTTCTTATGTTTGTTTAATATCTCTCTGTTTATCTCTTAATACTTTTTATTATCAGAGATGTAAAATGTAATTGAATATTTCAGGTATACAGAGTACAATTCATCATCTTCCTCAAGATACTAGCCAGTCTACTTTGCTCAGTCTTGTTAATCAACTAAACATTGATCCAGATGTGGATGGCATTTTAGTGCAGGTGAGCAGTAAGGTTATTTTTGGTTGTCATAAATTTCTAACCATAAAGTAACAATTGTGAAATTATGTAAAAATATTGTATTGAGGAATTTTTTATTTTAGTTTAGCCTCATAGTTATGGGTTGGAAACCAGATATCAAGTTTGAAGTCAGTATTATATA